GTGGCGTATGTGCAGGTAGACGCGCTGTTGGGAGATTACCGCACGGCAAGCGCGCAGGACACGCAGACGCAGGCCGCCATCGCAGGCGCGCTGCTGGCCTACCGGACGGGCCCGGACCAGGACGTGTTCGCAACCAACCAAATCACCTCGGCGCTGGTGGCGTACCGTTCAGCCGCCGACCAGGACACGGCGACGGCCTCGAGCATCGCCGCCGCGCTGCTCAGCTACTACACCATCGCACAAGTAGACGGCCTCCTTGCCGCCAAGCTCGGAGTCACGGAGGCAGCCTCGGCGCTGCAAATAGCAGTGCGCTTTCCGGACGACGGAGGGGCCGACGAGGCGGTGGCCGCCATAGGAGAGCAGATCCTGGCCCCCACGGACGTCTCACTGTCAAACTGGACGGTTCGCCCCAGCACCGGCTGCATGCAGCGTGGTGCACACCGCGGGCGCAGTGAGCGTGGATGGCTACACCCTGACCCTGGCGGTGAACCCGTGGAACATCGTGCGCACCTACAACTTGACCCCGGGCTCTTCGCCTGCCGGTACCGGCTCGGCACGGCCTCCAACTTCGTGGTGTACATGTCCGAGGCAGACAACGTCTACGACCCCCTGTACGGCAGCTTCGTGGGCGACCAGGGTGCCTGGAGCACGGCCAAGATGTACTTCACAGTGCCTCCGAACGGAGTTGCGAAGCTGCACTTCGGGGCGCACTTCCAGGCGCCGGGCCTGCCCAACCAGACGGCAGGAACGGTGGACGTCGGCCTCCAGATCCTGGACACAACCCTGGAGGCCGGCAACACGGTGGAGGAGGAGGACACGGCACTCGACGGAGGGGTCGACGACCACGCTGGCCACCCTGGGCGAGGTGCTGCTGCTCACCACGCTAGGCAATTTTCTGGTGCGCTCCAACAGCCAGAGCTCCGTGGCCTCGGCCAGCTTCACGGTGGGAGGCTTCCAGCTGGAGGGCTACGCCATGACCCTGAGCGCCTTCGCCTGGAACATCGTGCGCACCTACACGCTGACGCCGGGGAGACGCTACTCCTTCGGCTGCCGGTACAGGCTGGGCACGGCCTCCAACTTGGTGATGTACGTCAGCGCGGCCGACAACGATTACGTGGGCGTCACCGGTACTTTCCTCGGCACGGCCTCGCAGGGCGTCTGGAGCACGGCGCGCCTGGACTTCTCGGTGCCGCCGGGCGGAATCGCGAAGCTGCACTTCGGAGCCTTCGGAGGCTCGATCCCCGGGCTGGTGCAGCAGTCGGCGGGCACGCTGGACCTGTACAGCATGCAGATCAGGGCCTCGGCCTTCGAGGGAGAGTCGGTCTCTGTGACGGACTTGCTGGCCGACTTGCTGGCCCTCACAGGCTCGGCCACTCTGGACGGGCTCACTGCGCAGGGCAACGTGGGCTGCGACCAGCTGCTGCGCAACGACGTGAACTGCACCGACGTGTTCACAACGGGCGTGGACGCCTCGGGCGCAGTCTCCTGCGCAGCGCTCACAGCCACCGGCGCCGTCGCCGGAGCCACGCTGTCGTCCACCGGCGCCGTGTCGGGCAGCTCGCTGAGCATCACCGGCGCGGCCAGCGTGGGCCTGCTGAGCTCGGCCACCGGAATCACCGGCAGCACGTTGACCATCAACAACACGGCCAACGCCGGGAACTTCACCACGGTGGGCGACGTGTCCGCGGGCACGCTGACGGCCTCTGGCGCAGCGACCGCGGCGAGCTTCGCAGCCACCGGGGCGGTCACGGGCGCCACGCTGACGATCGCCGGGGCGGCCTCCGCGGGCCCGCTGGACTGCGAGAGCCTGGACTGCACCTTCACGGCCACGAGCGGCGGAGTGTCGACGGGCAGCGTGGTCTGCGGCGACGTGACGAGCTCGGGCACGGTCTCCGCGCCGCAGCTCTTCGCGTCCAACACGCTCACCGTGACCAACACCTCCGACTTCTCGGACGATCTCTTCTTGACGAAGAACTGGGCGGGCTGGAGCAAGCTGCAGATTTCCAACAACCGCGCGGCCTCCGACAGCGGCCCGGAGCTGCGGCTGCTGGGCAACCAGAGCGCGCGGGTCTTCCTGGAGCGGAACGGCGGGACGCACCAGTGCGAGCTGATCATGATCAACGACGATGCGGACGAAGAGCCTCTCGACGCAGCTGTCCTTGACCACGAACCAGAGGAACCCCGGTTGCCTCGTGATCGCGGGCAACACGGGCAACGTGGTCTGCAACACAAGCTTCACGAATTTGTCGGACAGCAGGGTGAAGACGGAGATGGCCGAGGCCGACGTGGCAGAGCTCCAACAGCTGTTCGACTCCGTGGGGGCCAAGCAGTACAAGCGCCCGGACATGAACGGGGACCTGAGGCTGGGCTTCGCCTCAAACGACTTCGCAGGAACAAAGTGGAAGAACCTGACGGGCACCGCGAGGTGGAGCGACGGCACGGAGATGGTCACCCTCGACTACTCTCACCTCACCAGCGTGCTCTGGGGGGCGCGCAAGGGCTTCCAGGCCCGGCTGGACAAGGTGGAAGCCTGGCAGGCCCAGCGGGGGCCGAAGAATCCATAAGAAACATGGCCGACGCCCGCAGACGAACCATCAAGGCCGTCTACAAGGATCCCCGCACCGGTTTCGGCAGCATAGCGCAGACGCTGCAGCAGGCTCAGGTGTGCGACCCCAGCATCTCCAGAGAGGAGGTGAAGGCGTTTCTGTATTGTTTCCGGGTGAACCAGGACCGGCCGCAGAGAGGCTACAACAGCTTCGTGCCTCTGTGAACCAGCTGCAGGTGGACCTGGCCGACATGAAGGCCTTTGGGGGCAAGCCCTACCCCTTCATGCTGGTGGCCATCGATGCGCTGACCGTCTTGCGACCACCACCGCGGCGGGCATGAAGAAGGTCTTCCAAGCCCTGGGCGTGCCGGCCAACGTGTACTCCGACGACGGCTCCGAGTTCAAGAGGGAGTTCAAGGAGCTGTTGGATTTCTGGGACATCGAGAAGCAGGTGACCAGGGGCCACGCCTACTTCGCGGAGCGCACCATCCGCACCATCAAGGAGGCCATGTTGCGTCGCATAGCTGCCGGAGCGGGCCGGCGGGGGCAGCGGCACCTCATGCTGCCCGACATCTTGAACCAAATCAACGGAAGGAAGCACTCTGACCCCGAGATGGCTGAGATTGCTCTGCGCAACATCGAGCGCAGGGCCAAGCACAAGGTGACCCGCCTAGAAATCAAGGTCGGGGATATGGTTCTTAAGCCGATCGAAAGCAGGGGCTCCTACAGGGTCAACGAGATAGCCTGGAGCGAAAAGGTATACAGGGTAGCCTCCGCCGAGAGCGGGGAGATGGGGGCGAGGTTTGGCTTGGAGGTGGCCGGAAAAGGTGGTGCACAGGGATCTCCGAAAAGTCCCCGAAAACTCAGCTCCCGAACCGTGGGGGCTGGAGGTGCAGTCCCGCCAGCGGAGGCAACAGAGAGGCCCCAGGCTCCCACCTCCCTCGTGATGTTCTCTGTGCCTCTACGTCTCTACTTGTCCTACAGCTGCGCCCGCCACTCACTGACGAGCTTCTTCACGTCGGGTCGGGGCGGGGGCTCGGGCGGGCCCCCGTGATCTAGGACCGCGTCCCACGCGTCCCACTTCCCGCCCCACGCAGCATCAGCCTCAAACCAGCGCAGGGCAAGCTCTGCCCGCTGGGCGCGCGTGGCCTGGTCGTCAAGAGCCGCAGAGACGTAGCTCACCTCTCTCATGATTTCCTCCTGGTCCACGCTCGCAACGAGGCATTTCTCGAGGCGTCGGACTTCCGCTTCCTCACCGAGCAGATGCTTATCGAGGAGCTCGATGCGGCGGCGCTGGTGCGAGCGCTCGGCCTCAAGCAGCGCGTCTTCGCGAGGCCGCTTGGTGGGAGGCCGCTGGGCCATCAGAGCAGCCGCAAGGCAGGGAGCGTCCTCGTCCGCCCACGCGGCGGGCTTTTCCAGAAGCCATGCCTGCACGCATCGGAAGGCCTTGGAGGAAGTCATGATAGCTTAAAGCAGCTGCGCGGGTTTTTTGAGACCATTCGAGCATTTGGGACCATTCGAGCATTTGGCGGGCTTTTTTTCTTTGCGCGAGTCCAAGCTCATCAGAGCGTTCGCCTGCGAAGATTTCTGTTCTCTTCCTCGAGGATCGCGATGCGGCGTCCTCACGGCGCCAAGTCTTACGGTTGACCTCCCCCTCAAGCAGATAAGCGTGCTCCTGCACCATCTGCAGTTGCGCTAGATCTCGCTTGCCGAGATCGTAGCTGCGCTCCAGCTGCCTGCGGTCATAGGGTTCAATTTCAGCTAAGTAGTGATGCAAGCTAACCCTTGTCACAAGAACCTCGCTCATCGAATCCTGCCTCGTGGTGATGCGGTAAGTGCTAAGTACGTACTCGCTTCTCAAAGATACCAACATGATTCAGGCTTCAGGCATTCAGATTCTGAGAGGGCCCTCATGGGGAGGGATCCCCACTCCGCCACCCCGCCCACCCCGAAAGCACTCCTGGAATAGTTTCAAACTCAATCCCACATCTGCATCTGCCAAAAAAACTCCTGGAATAGTTTCAAACTCAATCCCACATCTGCATCTGCCAAAAAACAGGTCGATAACCCAACGCTAGAATTGCTGCCTGCCTCGACCTTTTGTGCGCCGCTTGCAACAGCTTCACCGACCGTCTCGCACCCACAAACGGTAGACACAGCCCCTGCTGTACAGAGGGCTGTGTAACAGGTGACAAGCTGTACGCAGCATGTTTAGCGACTCGGCCCGTACATAAAGACCGGACCAAGCCTGCACAAAGGCACCCACCGCACGATTGCGCCGTGAACGGCGTTACTAGTCTGTACTGGTGTAAGCAAAGGCAAATCAGCCCCTCCAAACCAAACTGACTCCAAACTGCTCCAAACCAAAATGGACGCCCGCCACACAAAGGTAGCCTGAGCCCAAACCAAAAAAGGAACAAATGTCAAAGGAATCGAAATGATTCTACTGCTGAGCTCACTTCAGAAGGTGACGGCCAAGCTGCAACACCTCCTTGGCCTCGTCATTGCGGCTCTTCTTGCCCTTCGTGATGGAGCCCTGGCCCTGGCCCGCTGCGAACGCAGCTTGCATAGCGTGAAGCCCCAAGCAGCCGGCATCAGCATTGCCACAATCCCCGCCATCTGGCGTTTCCATTCGCTGGGCAGCTTCCAACGCCTCCTGCATTACTCTGGCGCGAGCACTTCTGTGGGTGCGTTCCTCTTCTGACGCCAGCTTGGTGATGGGGACGCTTGTGGCCTTGAGAACGGATGATTTGGCGCGTGCCACGCACTCCTCAATCTTGCTCTCCTGCTCCAACAGCTCCTTCAGCACCTGAACCTGGGCATCGGCTGTCTCCGGCAAGTCCAAGCCAAGCTGGGCAAACATCTCGGCTGTCTGGTTGCTTTTGGTGGAGTCGGCCTTCTTCTCAGACTTTTCCGCCTTTCCATCTTTGGCCGATTTCTTCTTGGAAGTGGCCCTGGCTTTGGCCTTTGCCGCTGCACTGATCCAGGTCTTGACGGTCTTCTCCACCGATGCTTGCTGGGAAGCCCATTCCTTCTCCAACTTGTCATCAGCGGCATCAAGCATTGCAACCTGATCTGGAAGATCACGTGCGGTTTGTCGCCAATCTGCTCCTTGACACAGCTGTTTGCGTGGTCCCGGCCTGTGTCGAGCGGCCACGCCACCAGCTGAAAGTCATGGGTTAGACTGCTGGCAGCATCAGTGAGCACCAAGGCAACATCAAACACGCGGGTCACGCTCTTGAAAAAGGCCTGGTCGGCTCTTGTAACTGCACGTGCCCCCCACGCTGGAACCATCACTGATGACGTAGCCAGCGCAGCAGCCTCCATGAAAAAGTCTACCTGTGGCAGGGGTGGCAAGATGGGTGCGTGACGTGATGTTGAATGGGCTAACAAGCAGAACCGTGTTTGGACCAAACACCGCCTAACACCAGAATGCGTTTTAACAAGCCCAACACAGGCTCAGACGTGTGGCAAGAAAACACGACTTTTCCAATAGAAGCTGAGCTACTCCAAAAACTCTGCAAAAAGGGATGCATCCCTTGGACTTGGTAGAAGACACTCGGCTGACAAACGGCAGCTGCCACTTGAGCACGCGCTTCTGGCTTCGCTGGAGAGCGCATGTTGACCACAATGGAGACATCTTGGTCTTGCGTCATCTGTGCGTAGAGCTCCCACACAACCGTGTTCAACTTGCACTCCATCAACCGCAAAAACCCGGCGCCGAAACAACAGTCCTCCCCCAGTTTGAGAGCAACTGCCTCCGGAGACCCGGCAAATGCCTTTTGAAAACTGGGGCTGGCATAGTTGTTGATCCCAGGCAAGCCAAATGTGTGTTGATCCCAGGCAAGCCAAATGTGTGCTTGGCAGTCGGCGCCGCTGACTCCGAGGCTGACTCCTGTTTGGGCTTGGGCGCCACACCTGAGGGCCCAGAAGCGCCCGTACTTGCACCAGAAGTCACAGCCACAGTCGGAGCTGTCTCGCCAGGCATTTGCCCTGCCAGGGAACAAACGCGCGTGACTGAACATGAACTCCGATTCCGACCCAATAGCCGAATCAGGCAAAAGGCAACCCGAGACCCATGGAGCCACAAATCCACTTACAATGACTAAGCCTGAAAGGAAATGAAACGGAATGACAACTGCAAGAAAACTCTTACACGTCGCATGCCCGTGTGCCTGCTCGCGCATCCAAAGGTCGGGTTGCATCAGCACGCTGCTCCGACTTCAGCCTTGCGATGGCGCCCAGCTTGTCAGCGATTGACAAACAACCATCCCCGTCTTCACACTTGCAGTACTTGTCCACGCGCTTGCACACGTCAGCCACCGTAGCGGCGCCCTGCAAGAGCTCGACCCACCGCTTGCTCCACTCGCCCCAGCTGAGCAAGATATCGAAGGGGACAAGCTTGTTCATGTGGAGTGGATCTTTGGTGACTGACTCAGCAAGCGACCGCAGCATGACAAGAGTGTCCGAATGGACATCTTTGATGTCAACACCAGGCATTGCGCACAGGGTGCTCATCAGGTTGAACAAGTACAGTGATCGCAGACCCAAAAACTTCTCGAGCGTCTCCATGTCTTGGAAAACCTGAAAGTGTCTCACGTCACCGAAAAAAAGTCCACGGGGCCTAGCCTAGTGAGGAAATGCGTAGTAAAAAACTATTTGCGCTGGCTTGGTTTGCTTTGCCCGGCTTCGCTGGCTGCCCGTGTCACCGTGAAAGCCAAGGCGCCGCATCTGTCTGTTCTGGCCAACGCTGCTGAGCCCCGAAGATGTCAACCACATCAGCGGCAAACGCAAACCACGATGGAGGCACAGCTCCGCCGATTTGGCCTTGTGTGAAGGCAACCAGGTCGATGAGATCCATCTTCTTGCTGGGCAGCGCTACAAACCTGAGCAGTGTGACGTGAGCGTGAGTGTGAATCACATGTCCACGTGTCAGCAAGCAAACTGCTGCGCTTGTCCAAACCTATCCACACACAAAAAGGGGTGGGATACTGGGAGGCCCCGCGCAGCGACAGTGGAGCGCATGACATCGTGCATGATGACGGGAATCTGGATGTAAGTCTTGATGTAGCGCTGAAGAGGCTCAACGAGCTCAGCCTGCTGCGTTCCCATGACCGAAAGGACTCGCCTCAGGCATTGCTCCTCGTCTTCGTTGCCCACAACACTGGTAACTGGCTGATCGACATATGTCTCGCAAAGCAGCCGCGCGAGTTCAAGCGCGCTCAACTTTGCCTGGGGCTGAGCGCTTTTCGATGATGAATCCTGCGCGTCGGTCCGCGTGAACTCCAGCGATGCGAGAAAGACGCTCTGGATCTCTGGTCGCACAGCGGACCAGACCCGCATATCTTTGCCATTAATGCGGCCCTCAAAGGCGAAGTTGACGAACAGGCTGGCCTCAGAAACATTTGAGCAAGCTCAGTGAACGATGTCAACACTTGAACGTTGAACTCAAAGGTCAAGTCCGAAAAAATGAAATCTATCAAAAAAGGTGGCTTGATACCAAGCCACGCAGAAGCTGAATGTGTTGTCAATGTTGTCACTCGTAAGGTCGCTCCCAAAACGCTCCTGATCACGGCGGTTGCTGGTTGCTGTTCAGTGCGACCGCAGACGCGGCTCAAGCTGAACACTGCTGAAACACACATCACCATTCATGCTTAACACAAAACACGACTCCTTTGCCACATCTTCGATGTAGCGCATGCTCTGCATGAAGTCATCCAAGACCGTCAGGCCACGAGACACGGGATCGTCCGCCGTGGAGGCATTCAACGCAGCAGTGACGGTTGTGTTGAATGTCGACTAGGCAGCAAACGTAGACTGTTTGTTGCCCTTCGTGATTTTCGTCTGTCCGCGTGGGTCTCGGCTGCGCAACTGATGACTGATATCACAACTTAAATCTGCTATGGAAATTCATCAATCACCACTGGATCCCCAGACCAGATCACGGACCCGGACCACGGATTTGTTCAGCCTAGCCTTCGTCCAAGCCATTCCCAACAATTCAGGGCATCTTGCGCCGTGCAAGCCAAATGGGCCTCACTAACACACACACACACACACCCACAGACACACACACACACACGCCGCGAAACTGCAACAGTGTGGTGTAACCTGACAACCCGAACAACGGAGACTGAGCCGCGACCTACAGCACAAGCTTACAGGCACGCAGATTGGCCTGATGCCACCGCCGAGCTGGATGACACTGAGACCTCCACCTCCTCACTCATTTCTGCATCTGCGTTCCACTCTTGTTGCCACCATCGCCTGAACATCTCACATCCAGATGCACCTGCGACTGTGGCGCGTCCTCGGATCGCATTTTCTTGCCCATGGTCAGAAGCTCATCCCTAACGGCCACAGACGAGCGGCGGCGCTTCTTGGAGTCATGGGCTTGGGTTGCCGCATCTGGCGTCTTAGCCTGCTTGCCGGCATTCATTTCGAAGGTTGAGCAAGTTCATACGAGCGCTATCCTGCTCCCAATGCTGGAAACTCCAGGCACAGCTCCGCTGTTCAGTCGTGTTGGCCGTTGGCTTTGGGACCTTAGCCAGCGAAAGAAACACATCCAGTAATGCATCCCGCATCAGACGCGAACACCCGTTGCACGTCTGCGTGATTGCAACGCCAGCTCAAAACACAATGAGCCTGAGCGCCGCGCGCAGTGCTTTAAGCAATACAGGTAATCACGCCAATCTGCTTCTTCGTGTAGTACTTGTCCATCTAAACCAAAAGGAGTGTCAGCTGGTGCATGCACGCAATGACAGCCTGCGAGTCCACATTGGGGTTCAAGAAATCCACAGACTCGTTCCTGCACTCGTCGACTGCAACACATCACAAATTTGTCGGACAGACGGAGACGTCCGAGGTTGATGAGCTGCAGCAGCGTGGCCCTCGCTGGCCCTCACGCTCACCGCGCAGGGCGTGGGCTACCCGATTCATCGGCTCCTTCATGGCAACCAAACTGTATGCCATCCATGAAACTCATGTGACAACCTCCATGTCACCTCAAGCCAAAAAGGTGATGTGAGTCTTAGTAAAACTTGACACTGAAACACAGGGCTTTGAAGGTCCCGGAGGAGCCTTAAGTGGCCAAGACACATGGTGTCAAGGCCGCAACCCCGGAGGGATGCGATTCATGAGCGGACTCAAGAATCGAAAAAAAAAAACTGAGGCCTGGCCGGCGGAGCGCCGCCGTGGTGCGCCATCTCGGGGCTGCAGGCCTCAAGGCGGACGCCAGTGTCCGACTGCTTACGCCCTGCTGTCTGCCGTCAACACTTCCTCAGAGGTGGACTCTAAGATAGCGGCAGCCCTCTTGCAGTAGGCGGACGCCAGCGCCCCCCTCCGGGTGGACACGCCGCTGGAGGTAGCAAATGCCCTGCTGGGTCTTGCCACCGAGACCTTTGTCGCAGCGCAGCTTGCAGCCGCGACGCCAGCCTGCCAACTGCGCTGTGGCCTACTACAGTGCCGACTACCGCGCGGCAAGCGCGCAGGACACACAGCAGGCGCGCTGGCCTACCGGACGGGCCCGGCGCTGCTCAGCTGCTACACCATCGCAAGTGGACGGTACCACGGAGCAGCCTCGGCCCTGCAAATAGCCGTGCGCTTTCCGGACGACGGGGGGCCGACACGAGGAGTGGCAGAGCAGATGGGCCCCACGGACGTCTCACTGTCAAACTGGACGGTTTGCAGCGTGGTCCTGACCACGCACGCGGACGCAGCAAGCGTGGACGGCTACACTGACCAGCTGCAAACCCCGGAACATCGTACAAGAGACTGCGCCCAAGGCGTCCACGGGAACAAGTTCACATCGTTGCAGCTGGTCCCGGATGGCGCAAAGTGGCTCAAAAGGAGCTACATCGTTTGTTTCGTGTTTGGTAGCGGAGCTCCTCAGATCCTGCAGGGACTGTAAGCCTCCTTCACAGGGCCAACAGGTAAGCCCCTAGATGGCGCCATGGTTTCACGTGTGGTTTTCTTGCATGGTGAGGGCTGGAGTGACCGGATGGGAGCCAGAAGCCTTGGGGGAACAATTTTACAATGGAAGTAGCATTTTAAATCCTTCATGGCGGACACTGGTGTATTTGCAGCGTGGACGAACTTTCGCCTGGCAGGTATTCTTGCAGTAGGAATGTGTGCAATGGTGTGTATTTCAGTTTTTATTTTGCGCTTGAGCCGGAGGAAGTATCATGGATGGACGCCAACGAGAATCTGCAAGAGACAGATGGCGAGGAGACGGATATCTTTCAGGAGGCAGTGGCGATGTATTGTTTGGATGTATTTTGCTTGAATGTTCAATTTGTACGGCATAGATGGTGAACGTAGCAAACATGGTCAACAACAATAGCTCAACAGTCAGCAACTGCGTTGGACAAAACGGCCACCATCATCCAGACCTTTGAGAGAGCGTCGAGTTCAGCTGACGTGTTGGAAAAGGGTTGACTGCAACGAGGGTACTGAGGAACCCGCGTTTGATGGTTCAGCTAATTCCTGGTTAACTTGGAGGCATGCTCTTTTATGAACTGGCTTAGCCATGCAGATGCAAGAGTCAGTGGTCTTCTTGAGGAAGTAGAGAGAAAACCTGCAGATGATGTTATCAGCGTGGCAGAAGCGACGGAAGAGGTCAAGACACTGAGCGGTCATTGGCATTGTCACAGGCAATTGCAGGATTCCCGGCATTCTCGCGGGATAAGACTTTTGCAGAATCGATTGCATTGCTTGAGCAACTGGTAAATGAATATCAGGTGGCTTGCAACAAGGAATTTGACAGGGAGATATTGCTGGGTGTTTTTATGCGATGTGCGCCGCAGGGGTGAGACAGCATTTGACGCTCACTTTAACAGAAGGTGCAACCTATGAATCAACTCGAGAGCAGATCCTGGCATATGAGCGTTCTTCGAGAACCTGGGATGTCAGTTCGTTCTGAGACAAGTCCAGCCGCTGCAGGACAATGGTCAAGCTGGAAGCGGACAAGGCCCTGCGCCAATGGATGTGGACATCAACGCGTGGATAAAGGTGGCAAGAAAGGAGGAAAGGGTGTGACGGCGGCAAAGGCTGGTGGAATGCCGGCTGGAGCAGCTTGCTTGGCAAAGGCAAAGGCAAGAGCAAGGATCAGGGAAAGAGCAAAGGCAAAGGAAAGAAGGGCAAGAGCAAAGGAAAAGGAAAACAAAAGGGAAAGAGCAAAAGAGATCGCGAATCCCTTCACCGCGATGCCTGCAGGTTATGCGGGCAATTTGGGCACTGGGGAAATGAGTGTCCTAGCAGTGTGAGACAAGTGGAGGAACTCTCTCTGTAGAGGGCGTTTTCCAAATGGCTTATATTGTACCTGAGAGGCTTCTGACACTCGTCCGTCCAGCATTTGACCTCGTCCTGCGAAGGATTCGAAGTCTAAAACGCTGCGTGCAGGCGTGTGGCTGCAAAATAGAGACCCCTCGATATGCTTGCAATTTGGCTCCAGGTTGCATTTCAAGCGAGCCAACCTTTGCAGGGCTAAGGAAAAACAAAAAAAAAGAAAAAAAGGGTCCAAAAAAAAGGGGTCCCCGAAAAAAAGGGAAAAGGGGTTTCCTTTGGCAAAGCTTGACATCGCTTGA